CTTCACGTGGCACAAACACCTGACTGTGAGAGGCGTAGATGACAACTACATTTACCCGCATTTGGCCGCTTTGTGTTGAGAGACGAACAACTGAGCCTTTGACAATCAAAAATCGGCTTAGGTGTAATCGTAAACCATGGTGATTTAAAAAAGAGTAAAATGGACATGGAAACCGACATGAGAGCCTGATTCCGACAAAAAAGAAACCGATTATTCAACATAAACCTGGAGTTTTTTATTAATCGATAACCATCCGCAATTATACCCGACATCACGATTACAGGATTTTAATCGAACAAACGATAGATCGATTTGAAAAAGTCGATTTTTCTATGTCAATTTTAGATTTTTTTCCATTAATCGATTCGTCGCAGTTCATCCCCAGTTGTAATCCGCTCTTCTCTCAACATGAGCTCGGCTTTATTTGCAGCTAAAACAGCTTACATACATTTGAGTAACAAAAACTCCAGTAACATAATGCTATAGGCAACCAACGCACTTAGGAAGTGTCACTTAACATCAAAGATGCTTCAAATTAGTTTGAATATGCCATCGCTGACCTATTGAACCTGTTTCTCATGCAGAGCAAACTAAGAAAAATAAGTTGGTTGTAAAAGTTGCGCAACTAATTAAGCCTACATACAGAGAGTTAGTTGTTGATGTTGGAACTGAGCAAATAAACTAAGTAAGTTTAAACAAACTAAGGTCACATAGGGCCACCTTAGTGTACTAGCATGACTTAGTTTTCATACATATGTATATGGATTATGGATTACATGAGAAAATACATCTACTCATATCATACCGCAAATATGAGTACCTTCAAATGATTATTAAATATATTTGTAATAATGTATGCCTACACTAGCATATGTATGTATGTGCGTATAGTATTTATGTAGTAGATACATAGTGTGTATGTGGTAGAATGACTAAGCTTAAATTGTTTTCGAGACGAAGAGCATTTGTGGAGTTTTTTCTTTGCATACATTGTATGTGAATATGTAAATATATTTTCTCAGAAAATCATTAAATAGTTTATTTACTCGCAATTATTTGTATGAAAGGTTGACAATTTGTTTAACAATTAATCAGTTAATTGCACAATTACGAGTTTTACTTACTCATTTTGTTGGATAATAATTTAGTTTATATGCTGCTGCTTATAAATCCACGCTTAAAACTTTTTGTATGATTTTTTATTTTTATTTTAATCGCTGTAACTTTAATTAAAGCTTTTAGTTGATCGAGTATGACCACAATTAAGTCAATATAATTCATAGACACTTATTTATATAAATATTAATGCTAATCGTTTTGAGCCAGTTGACTTTTACTTTTTTACGTGTTTGAAGCGAACGTAAAATTGTGCATTTTTTGGATAAACTTAAATCAAACTTAAAAAAAAGTTAATAATGTTAGTTATTCATAATTAATTTTTTTTTTTTACATACAGGGAGAGCTAAAATTACCATGTTGACACATGGAATGCCCACGCGACTAATGAATGCCAACCTTGACATTGGTATGAAATAGACGCGCAGCTATGAACTCGTATTGGACTTGCAAATTTGAATTATTTATGGCGCTCAATTTTTTATATATTTTTTTCTTTTATTATATTTTATTTCCTTTCGGTCTAACGTTATGATTTCAAATGTAACAAAAATTAAAAAAAAAATAAGTTTAATCACCGAAAACAACGAATGCTATTAAAAAAGTTGCCTTATTGTCCGAGGTTCCAGAACGTGGCCAATGTGTCGAACTTCACATAAATTGGTCAATTCAGAGTAAAAAACGACAACTGAAGTGTATTTCCTAACTAGCCGTTATACAAATATTTGTAAAATACCTTTATAAACAGTTCGCAATACTTTGCCAAAAATGTGTCTGAATAAAAACATAACGCACGTTTAATAACAAAGGCAAATATTTTAAAATTTTAATTTTTTGGAAAAAAAACATCTAAGTTGAATGGCTTATAGGCGGCAAAGTGACCGACCATCAGCTGAAAAGGAAAATACAAAACCAAAATATTTTCTCGCTTCTGACTAATTTGACGTGTTGAGTATTCATTGACGATTTCTTACGGTAAGTCTAGAGTAACCAGATTAACCCTTTTTATTTTGTGTTTTTATTAAAAAAGTTTCAATGCAGTTTTTTCTAATTATTTGTACAGTGACGAACAAAAGTATTTGCACAGAAAATTTTTCGCAATGTATGCAAAGTTTTTTATTGTAATTTCTTTTCGCAAATTTTTCATAAAAATAAAGTTCATACTACAAATAAAAAAACATGAAAACAAAAATAGCAAAACTTTCAAATCAGATTTTTTAGATAAATTCTAAGAATGTAGTTTTATAACTCATTTTAATATTTATTTAAATTAAACTTGTAATTTAAAGAGGTG